TACTTTGCTGAATCACTCTACGTTTCCGAGTACTTTTCAGAAGGAGGCGAATACCTCCAGCCCCAGGGACTTGTATAGGAAGAGTCAAACGTTTGGGACTCACCCATGCACCAGAGGGCCAAGGCAGAAGGAGGCAAGAAGCCTGGGCGAGCTGGGCTCCTCCATGCCTGGCAAAAGATGAGCTGCAGAGGCGAGAGGTGGGCAAGCAGAACAGGCACTCAGCCAGCCGCACAAGCTGCGTGCAAAGAAACTCCCGCTGCCCCAAGCTTCAGGGCTGCCTCGTTAAAGGAGTGCGGAGGCCAGACTCGTAAATGAGAAAAAGCAAGCTCAGGGTTCGTGGGTCGCATTTTGGGCTGTGGAAGAGGAACCGGCTCCATTCCTGGAGTTCTCTCGAGTTCCTGTGCTTTTGGTTTTGCTTTTTGCCAATCCGCCTCCCAAGACTGCTCCAGGTGCTCCTGCCTGAGGACTGCTGGGGCTTCCCGCAGTTCGGCCCCATTATATCCTATGGGCCATTGAAGTCAATGGCGAAAACATAGGGTATATTCTGGGGACTGGAGGGGAGGGGGTTTGAGGGAGAGGCTCCAACATCACAGGGTAGCTGCTGGAGCCTCTCCCCAAGATACCCGCCATGTTTCACGAACATTGAACCAGGGGGTCCAATTCTACGGGCCCCCAAACAGGTTGCCCCCATCCTCTCCATTGTTCTCTATGGTGGGAAAAAAGTATTTTTGGTTTGTTTTGTTTGCTGAAGGTGCATTTTGTAAACATTTGAGTGACAGGCGATCAATCAAGGAACCAAGCTCTATTTTCAGTGCTGACCATGAGAAAACTGGCACTATGGTGAGATGTCTTTATTTAAAATAACAATAAACCTGGCCAGCCTAGCCTAGCCTGATCTTGTCAGATCTTGGAAACTCCATAGGGTAAGATTGGCCTTGGCTAGTATTTGGGTGGGAGACCACCAACAAAGTCCAGGACAGTGACACAGAGGCAGGCAATGGCAAACCAACTCTGAACTTCTGTTACCCTGAAAACCGCACAGGGTCGCCATAAGTCAGTTGCAACTTGAAGGCAACAAGACATAAATTAAGATGTGCAATTTTGGTGCACATTATTTTCCCTTTTTTTAGGGTACTTGTCCTCCTTTTTTGGCCATCTGATATGATACCCCCTGCCCCATTTCAGGACTTCATCAAAAAGAGGTGTTGCTCTATCATTCTGTCAAGGCCTGTTATTTGATCTTTGTTGCAAACAAACATTCTAGAAGAGAAGGCTCTGTGACATGTGACTAGTTTAATCTGCTGTTTGCTGAGTGGCTTTGGGTTTAACTTCTAGCAGATAAACAGTAACCAATTGTGATGCTTCTTAAATCATCCTTCTGGGGAAAGCAGCCGAAACAAATATCTTTTTATCCAGTACCTGAACCCTTTACAGTCACAATGCTGTTAATCAATCCACAAGCTTCTTGCTTTCAAATCTTTTAGTTGTCAAGACCCAACCTTAAACCAGAATTGCACAGCTGGTGTTAGAGATTAAATGTAACACAGGGCCAAAGCAACTGGGGTTGCCAACTTCCCATTGGGAAATTCCTGAGGATGGAGATTTGGGGATAGAGCCTGAGGAGACCAGGGTTTAGGGAGAGGAGGGACCTCACTGGGGTACAATGCCACAGAGCTAGGGTCGCCAAATCTCTCTTACCTTCTCGGCGGGGGATCCCTGGCCATCTCCCGGTGGGCGCGCGCGCGCTCCGCATCTACGTCACCCGGATGTGACGTCACATGCTGGGGCGGGGCCACAGCCATTTGAGGGGAAAACATAGAGTTTTCCCCTCAAATGGCTGTGGCCCCGCCCCAGCGTGTGATGTCACATCCGGGTGACGTGCACGCGGGCGTGGGGTTTCCCCCGGGCCCCGATTTCGCAGGGGCAGAAATCGGGGCTCGAAAGCAGGGGGAAATCCGCCCCCACCCAGGGGCATTTGGCAGCCCTACACAGAGCCCACCCTCCAAAGCAGCCATTTTCTCCAGGGGAACCAATCTCTGTAGTCTGGAGATCAGTTGTAATTTCGGGAGATTAACAGGACCCACCTGGAGGTTGGCAACCCTAAAAGCAACACACTCTGTTATATACTAGACAAATAGTGGTAATTGCAGGTTTCTTTCAAGTATATTTTTTTGGGCTTTTATCCCTTCTTGCCAAGGATCTCGTTGTTGCTTACATAGTTCCCCCTTTTTGTTCCACGACATCCTGTGAGGTAGGGTAGGCTGAGAAAGACTTACTTGGGCCCTGTAGAACATTACTGCTGACAGAAGATATGATCTTCCTTGCCACTCCCCTTCAACAGCACTTCCATATGCTCTCCGGCACCCCAGCTGCCAGCAGAAGAAAAAAAATAAAACACCATTAGTGACATAATGACAGTACTCTCTAGAAATTGCTGGAAACTCTATATCACATCCGGATTACATCATTTCCTGGTTTTCCCAGAAGGGAGGTTATAGCATCACTGATCCTTCCCCCCCAATCTCCTGGCAATTTTAGCGGCATTAATCATGCTTGGCTTGGAACCTGCTAACATTTTGTAGAGCTTCCCAACTTTTCAGGACTGAACTGAGACTCCAGTGGCAGCCATTTTGTGACAGGCTCCAGCCCACTCCCCATGCCAGTCTTTTTGTTGTGGTACTCAGTACCTGTTCTCAACATTCTAAAAATGCCTACAGATTCAACCAGCTTTAGGAACCCCTAGGTCTCAGAATATCAGACTAGGATATGGGAAGCCTAGCTTTGACTCCTAACTGTGGCATGGACCAGTTGGCCTAGCCTACCTCACAGGATTGTTGTGAGGACAAAATGGGGACTCAGAAGGGTATGCTACCCTAAGCTCCTTGGAGAAAGAATGGGATAAAATGTATAGGTGGGAGAGGAGCAAAACTGCTTGGCCACGCCCTTTCAGACTCCATCAATCGCCAACCAATCTGTAGAAGGGCAGGGGGGACAGGCCAAGACCTCTTCCACTGAGCATTAGCAAGAACAACACTTGTATATTGCTGTTTTTGTAAGGGTGCTTTGATTCTTGTTGCCTTCTGCCTTGTAGGTTGGTTTATTCATTTAAATACATTCCACTTTTCCCCCCAATGGGGACCCAAAGTGGCTTTCAACAGTGCTTT